CAGATAACAGCAGATGTGATGCAAAAACTTGGTGGAACATTTTAAGCCAACCCTCCGATGAATGATTTCTGCCAGTTTTGCCTAAAAACCCTGATGATATAAAGTGTGCTCTCTATTACATTCTTTGTTTTCTTTGCAACATTAGGCCATTTAGGCTTGTTGTTATTGTTGCAGAAAAGCACTGCTGCATTATGGGTAATTCTAATACTAAGAGTCTCCCATCGTAGAATCCCACCTACTGGTCCGTGAGTTCTCCAGCCAGATCTGGCCAGAGTCAATGGCGTTTAATTAGAAGGAATTATGCTCTGTCGATTTCAGTCTGGCCAGTCAGACTACATCCATCCATCGTCTACACCTTGTCCACCAGAGTCAAGGGATGCTGAGTTTCTGTCTCCTGTAGTCTTTGCAGAAAACATCCTGGACAGGTTGTAGGTACATCACAAAGATATACAACCATTCACACCAAAAGGGAAATGTAGAATCACCAATAAACCAAACAAATGTCTGGGCTGTAGGAGGAAACCACAGTCCTTGGAAAGAACCCAAGTATGTAAACTCCAAGCTGGGATTTGAATCGAGGATACTTTTGCTACAAAGGAACAGTGGTACAAATTTCACCTTCACGCAGCTTGCTAAATTACAAATACCCTTCTCTACTATTCATCCCTCAAACCGTGTTCTGTTGAACAAATTGCATTTTTAAGGAAATCTATGCATAATTCCCTCAAAACAACCTGCGACTCCTGAACAGCTCACACTAACACCCTCCCAAACTCCACAGAGTATGGGCGACAGTGGCGTTGGATGTAGGAGTTTGCCCTGAAATCAAAGGATTGACGGTTCAACCCCCGACTCCGACTTTCAGTGTCGTTGTGTCCTTGGGCAAGACACTTCACCTGCATTGTCTACTGATGGTGGTCAGAGGGCCCGGTGGCACCAGTGTACGGCAGCCCCGCTTCTGTCAGTGAGCCCCAGGGCAGCTGTGGCTACAATGTAGCTTGCCACCATCAGTGTGTGAGTGTATGCATGAATGGGTGAATGAATGAAGTGTAAAGCGCTTCAGTCAAGTCTCCTGACTTGAATAAAGGCGCTATGTAAGTACATGCCATTTACCATTTACGGATATAAAAAAAAATCTTTGGCTGGTTCTCTTCATTTACTTTTTAAACATCAATCTTTGTACTAAAATAATCTTTATGTCAGGAGTTCTGGACATTAAGATCTAAAGAGAAGCGTTATCTCCTGGTCAGACCCTGTAATTCAGTGAAAGCGTGGAGTCAGAGTAAAAAAATTGCACGCCCAAGAGAAGGCCAGTGGCCGAAAGTTGGAGGGGATTTTCCTGGGAGTCCCAGGGGAATAGGCTGCCATTCAGCTGGCGTTTGACTGGGAAGGGTCATTTTGAATGGCTGCTACTGTACACAAAGCTGTACACAAGGCTGTCTGAAACCCAATAAACTAGACATTTTCAAAAATGTTTTTTCAAAAAAATACAAAAAAACATACCATGCATATTGCTTTAGGTTAATAGACTATGGTAATTAGGCTATGTATGCTTCCAAAAAAATTCCACCACCCCTCTTCATTTTATTTTACAACTAGACCTCTGGTAATTACTTGTGCGGTATGAAAGCACTGCAGTATGGAACCAGTGGCAAGACGTTCATTTAAGACATCCAGCAATCCTTATGCTAGGATGTCCAGTAGGCTATGTAAAGGTCCACAGTGATAATGCCAGGTGCCTTCTGGCCCTGCATGCTCAAGAGGGCTGTGTGGGGCTTTTTAAGAACTTATTATAACCTCCCAAGCTTATAAGCTCATTGTGTGGAGCTTATTATAACTTCCCCAGAGACTTGATTTAGTGCATTACAAAACTCACCAAACACTGCAAGCAATATTAAGGGTTTATTCACTAAGATGTGTATGGGATGTGGTGGCATTGTGCCAGCCAATTTGCAAAGATGGAGAGCAGATTGAGGTGCAGGTTAATTCACCAGGTTTAAGTTAAGCTGGTCAAAACTACTAAATCTGAGTCAAAGTGTTCACATGGGGGAATAACACCTATGGGTTCAAGTGCACAGATTATAAGGGTGCAAAATCTGAAGGATTGGGATGTTCTTGCACGCCATGATGTAATGGAGACATCGAAAGTCAAAGGAACATCACTGTTTGTGTAACTTTACTGCTATAAAAATATTTTAAAATTGCAGCAGAAATAATTTTGTACTCATACATATTCGTTGAAATATAAAGTTTCTTGATTATTATACCTAAAGCAAGTGTTTTCTTCAGCACAAGCTACGCTTTTTAACCTTATTTTCAAAATAAACAAGTAAAAGTGAAATAAGGATATTATTTGTGTTAAAGATGTAACTTAAATTAAGAAATGATACAAAAATGGACATTGGATATACAATACTATCAATGGGAGAATAAATCCAACTGGACCAAAATGCTAGAAAGAAAAAGAAAATAAAGGAATTTTAGAAAAAAAAAAAAAGAATTCCAAATGTCATTGCAAATATTAGTTATAGATTTTTATGTGCTCACTAGTTATTATCCAACACTCATCAAAAACATTTTAAGAAGATGTGATTGCCCATTTGCATCAATGAATATTAGAAAATTAAAAGGCCCACTTAGATCATCAATGTACAGTAGTACAGTAGTAGTAAAATTTTTGAAATGTTATCAGTCATGAAAACTAATGTAAGACAAGAATATTTCAGAGGATAGACATTGTACAGATATTGAATTTGGCAATTTGGCTTTTGAATTGAACAAAGTTCATTTAAAATGTATATCTATTATTTAAGTTAATTATCAACATGTTTTTGGTCGGTTTGGTATTTTAAACTCCTTTCTATGAGGTTCCCCCAGGGACATAAACCAGAATTAACTTCCATAAGCAAATATTAAATTAAACTCTTCCATATAATATACTGAAAAACATGCATAACCACCAGTGAAAAGCTCTCACATAAACTAGTGAAAACATTTACCTTTTATATTCCTACTTAAAAGCTCTCATACAAAGTAGTGAGAACTGTTCTTGTGACATTCATACTACTGAAAAGCTTTCATATACACTAGTGAAAATCTATTTGCAGATTTCAGTTGAAACGGAAGGCATTACATTGAAACATGAAGGAATGTCATCAAACCGGAAGTTGTTTTAAACAGAAGTCATTCTGGTTAGTTCCGTACATTTTGTGCAATCTCCGGC